ACTGCCGTGTCATATCACATTACATTGTACTTTATTTCTTATTGTGTCACAGGAATAATTTAAGTCGCTTTTCTCATCTGGGACTGCAGAAAACACTGTCTGGCTCTTGAACTAATGAAGCGTCTGGGATCAGTGACTCAAAATGCTTAAAACACTTCAGTCCAGCATTTCCTAAATTTAAAAGTCAGATTTGTGCATTTGAAATTGATTTTTCACTTGAAAGCTTACTTTGCTTCTACATATGTGAATGTTAAAAGCTCCCGGAGATGTTGAATCCAACCCAAAACATTTCCTTTGAATCAAGCAACAGTTCAGCCTGAAACTTCTGCTCTCATAAGCACAGAAACTAGCAGAACCTTCCAGGGCTGTCCCAAACCAGGGCTTTTTATTTTAGCTGGATGTTTGTGCAGACCTGGACTTAACAGGGGGTGGATGGGTGATGCTCTGCCCATAGGCACAAGCAGAGGTTTGAAAACCGTGGTGCAACACTGATTATTGTCCCCGGAACATCCCCTCACTCTGGCAGGTCCCTCCTGCCCTTCCTGCGCTGCCCCTCTGGCTGCTGCCCCTCCCAGCTGCTGCCCCCACCTCTGCCTGAGACCCTTGTCTACAGCTCTGCACCCTACCAGCAGCACCCATGCCATGCCATGCCATGCCATGCTGTGCCGTGCCGTGCCATGCCGTGCCATCTCATCTCATCTTGTCTCATCTCATCTCATCTCACCATGCCATGCCATGCCATGCCATGCCATCTCGTCTCGTCTCGTCTCATCTCGTCTCATCTCATCTCACCTCACCTCATCTCATCATCTCATCTCATCCCATCTCAACCATCTCATGCCACACAATGCCATCCCATCCCATGCCGTGCCATGCCGTGCCATGCCATGCCATGCCATGCCATTCCATTCCATTCCATTCCATTCCATTCCATTCCATGCCATCCCATTCCATGCCATCCCATCACAGAGGCCCCTGAACCAGCCCCCCTGGGTGAGGGCTCACCCCCCTGCTGTGCTCCCTCCTCTCTTCCTGTGCTGTTGGGGCGAGGACAAGACACCCCAGACACCGGGAGGGACACCAGCGAGGCCGGGGCAGCCCCTGGGACGGGCTGCCATGCCGCAGACCCCCTTACCGGCTCACCTCCCCCCCCCACTGCAGTGTCCCCCCAGCCCCACGGGCTCTGCAGAGCCCAGCCTGCAGCCAGAGCCCGGGGGGGAGCCCGGGGGCCGCGGGGGCTCACTGGGGGCCTCGCACCTACCCCGCTGCCAAGGAAAATATTTACCCAGCGCTGAAATGAGCTGGGCTGGGTTCCCAGGCCTGGGTGACCCTTGG